TGTAAACAGACAAAGTTGTTTCCAGTCCCGGTAGATGTGATCATACCATGTAAAGACAAAGACAAAGTTGTTTCAAAGTTGTTTCCAGTCCCGGTAGATGTGATCATATCATGTAAACAGACAAAGTTGTTTCCAGTCCCGGTAGATGTGATCATACCATGTAAACAGACAAAGTTGTTTCCAGTCCCGGTAGATGTGATCATACCATGTAAACAGACAAAGTTGTTTCCAGTCCCGGTAGATTTGTGTTTCCATCATATACCATGTAAACAGACAAAGTGTTTCCAAACAGACAACAAAGTTGTTTCCAGTCCCGGTAGATTGTGTCCCGGTAGATGTCACCATACCATGTAAACAGACAAAGTTGTTTCCAGTCCCGATCGGAAGTGAACACTAAGTTGTTTCCAGTCCCGGTAGATGTGATCATACCATCTAAACAGACAAAGTTGTTTCCAGTCCCGGTAGATGTGATCATACCATGTAAACAGACAAAGTTGTTTCCAGTCCCGGTAGATGTGATCATACCATGTAAACAGACAAAGTTGTTTCCAGTCCCGGTAGATGTGACCATACTATGTAAACAGACAAAGTTGTTTCCAGTCCCGGTATTTGTTATCATACCATGTAAACAGACAAAGTTGTTTCCAGTCCCGGTATTTGTTATCATACCATGTAAACAGACAAAGTTGTTTCCAGTCCCGGTAGATGTGATCATACCATGTAAACAGACAAAGTTGTTTCCAGTCCCGGTAGATGTGATCATACCATGTAAACAGACAAAGTTGTTTCCAGTCCCGGTAGTGATGTAAACAGACAAAGTTGTTTCCATACCATGTAAACAGACAAAGTTGTTTCCAGTCCCGGTAGATGTGATCATACCATGTAAACAGACAAAGTTGTTTCCAGTCCCGGTATTTGTTATCATACCATGTAAACAGACAAAGTTGTTTCCAGTCCCGGTAGATGTCACCATACCATGTAAACAGACAAAGTTGTTTCCAGTCCCGGTAGATGTGATCATACCATGTAAACAGACAAAGTTGTTTCCAGTCCCGGTAGATGTCACCATACCATGTAAACAGACAAAGTTGTTTCCAGTCCCGGTAGATGTCACCATACCATGTAAACAGACAAAGTTGTTTCCAGTCCCGGTAGATGTGATCATACCATGTAAACAGACAAAGTTGTTTCCAGTCCCGGTAGATGTGATCATACCATGTAAACAGACAAAGTTGTTTCCAGTCCCGGTATTTGTGATCATGCCATGTAAACAGACAAAGTTGTTTCCAGTCCCGGTAGATGTGATCATACCATGTAAACAGACAAAGTTGTTTCCAGTCCCGGTAGATGTGATCATACCATGTAAACAGACAAAGTAGTTTCCAGTCCCGGTAGATGTCATCATACCATGTAAACAGACAAAGTTGTTTCCAGTCCCGGTAGATGTGATCATACCATGTAAACAGACAAAGTTGTTTCCAGTCCCGGTAGATGTGATCATACCATGTAAACAGACAAAGTTGTTTCCAGTCCCGGTGTATGAAATCATGCCATGTAAACAGACAAAGTTGTTTCCAGACCCGGTATTTGTGATCATACCATGTAAACAGACAAAGTTGTTTCCAGTCCCGGTAGATGTGATCATACCATGTAAACAGACAAAGTTGTTTCCAGTCTCGATAGATGTCACCATACCATGTGAACAGACAAAGTTGTTTCCAGTCCCGGTGTATGAAATCATGCCATGTAAACAGACAAAGTTGTTTCCAGTCCCGGTATTTGTGATCATACCATTGATACAGACAAAGTTGTTTCCAGTCCCGGTTTATGAGATCATGCCATGTAAACAGACAAAGTTGTTTCCAGTCCCGGTAGATGTCACCATACCATGTGAACAGACAAAGTTGTTTCCAGTCCCGGTAGATGTGATCATACCATGTAAACAGACAAAGTTGTTTCCAGTCCCGGTAGATGTGATCATACCATGTCAACAGACAAAGTTGTTTCCAGTCCCGGTAGATGTGATCATACCATGTAAACAGACAAAGTTGTTTCCAGTCCCGGTAGATGTGATCATACCATGTAAACAGACAAAGTTGTTTCCAGTCCCGGTAGATGGGATCATATCATGTAAACAGACAAAGTTGTTTCCAGTCCCGGTAGATGTGATCATACCATGTAAACAGACAAAGTTGTTTCCAGTCCCGGTATTTGTGATCATGCCATGTAAACAGACAAAGTTGTTTCCAGTCCCGGTAGATGTGATCATATCATGTAAACAGACAAAATTTTTTCCAGTTCTGGTAGATGTGATGGTACCATGTAAACAGACAAAGTTGTTTCCAGTTCCGGTAGATGTGATGGTACCATGTAAACAGACAAAGTCGTTTCCAGTCCCGATGTATGTGATCATATCTTGTAGACTGACAGTGATACGTGGTGTTTTTCGGTTCCATAATCTTTGGTCATATTATGAAGATGGACAATGTTGTTTCCGGTTCCGGTAACTATGGTCATAACATTTGGACTGACAATGATTTTCCCAATTAAGTGATCTGCTGTCACATAATGTTAACCACGTATTTTCGAATTCCGGTTAATGAAATGATATTGTTTAGACTGAAACACAGATAACTGTACTAATACTCACATCAAATATGGGCCACTCTGTGTTAAAAATCTTTTGTGAAATGTTGTATAGTTAGATTATGTCTAGGTTAAAAGTAAAGTTAACATTTAACTGGCAAAAATTAAATTAGTCTGTTTAAAAATGAAGGTAAATAAATCTTGGTAAATGTCAAAACAACATTAGTAGGGGATCAATTCCTGGTAAACATCTAGGTAAATAGGTGAAGGTTAAAATCTAATTAATATAGGTAAAAGTAAAAATCTGGTAAAATAGGTCAAGGTAAAAAAACTAGGTTAATAGGTCATGGTATTTGTATTTTATTCTGGTGAATCTCATGTTCCATAATAGATTTTTAGACTAGCCGATGCACATATCTTTACGTTCTTATTTATGTACGTTGTTCGTATTTTTCATATTCAAGTTTAAAATGTTATTATATTCCGTGATAAATTCCTGTCATTTTGGTCTCTTTTACGTCGTAGAATCTACTGAAAGGGGCGATATGATATTTTGAAATGCTAAACTGCTTAATGTATACATACATGAGGTATCCGGTTCCGGAAGCGGATATCGTATCTAGTTCATTATTAAACACACAAAGAGCAACTCATATCACTGAACAGTTTCTTTTTTACATATTCAACATGTGACCTATAACCTTTAAGTACCTGCAGCTTAAATAGACAACAAATTGTGCCACGTTTCCATTCCTGTATAGTAACGGACTTACTTCCCCAACTCTTTATGATTGTGGGATGCATATAGTGGACAGTTTTGGTATTTGATATCAGTTCGAGATATTTAATTTTAGCGCGCGGTATGACTTTAATGTGTGTTTTCCTGGTCCTATCTAAATCGGCTATCTCTTTGAGAACGTAGAATTCCTAGTTTTTACACACATTTACATGGTTATTGTCGTCTTCGGAACCTGTTATCTCTTTTTACCGAAATAGCAAAGAGATGAATACAATGGTGCGTAAGGATAGAGTATCACAATATCGTAAAGGCTTTCTTTAAAGTAACCCTTCACCACCGATGTTCCTATGACATTTCAAGTAACCATCTTTTAGTGTTTCTGTCGGATCAATTATATACAGTTAGATACCTAATATGATTAGTTAAAGCTTATTTCATTCTCTGATTCCAAACTATTGACGTCAAATTCTTTGTATACAAGCTATACAGTTTCTCTTAGCTAATGAACCACTTAATTGTGCAGCTTTGAGAAATGATGTGACAATGCATGCTGAACCGAGACATTGACATGTGTTGTTACATGGGAAATACTTAAGTAGCTAGACAATGGGCACTTGATACACGTTTACAAGTCATTACAGTAAAATGATATCTAATTACATGCTCTTACACAAAATCTTTTTCTGCGTTTTAAAATTTCAGTCTTTGTATACCACTGAGTAGGAAAGAAGAAAAGGAGGGTGAACAAGGGAGTTCAATAATGGCTATGCCTTTGTTGTTTTGTCTACTTGTTGATATAAACCTGCTATCTCTGACACTTCAGCAATCGTTACTACCATCCAAGGGTTCCGACGACACAAGCAATGTGATGCCAATGGTGAACCAGCTAGCTAACAATTCAATGAGCATTGCATGGATAAAAATCCAGGACGAAATGAAAATATACATGGAGAATCTAACGAGCAGGCTGGACGAGCTGTCTGAAAAAGCCTCGGAACTACGCAAGGCTTTGGACTATCCGTTCGTGTTGTCGGGCAAGTAACGAAACGTTCATGACAAAAATACTATACTTGTTTTTAGTTTCAAGAATTGTCGTTTTTAGAACTGTACATAAATACCTTGAAAATCAAGGGAATAGAAAACTTAATTTTCTAACTTCTTGTAAAATTCCGAAAATCTCAATCGTTGAAAAGTGATCTTATTTATTGAACGGTTTCTGTAATTTTTGTTATTATGATTTATCTTCAGATCAAAATAAAATTTGTGTATCTCAAATCAATGATGAAATGTGTGTCTCTGTGAACAGGTCCGAAGAAAACGTGCCCAACGGACTACCTCTTACATGACCGTTTCTGTTACCTTTTCCACCCTCGCCCTGTACCTTGGTTCGTAGCTATGGTAAGAGATGTAGAATACGGACCAATATCATACCTAAAAGTCGGATATTTTAAAGGGACAAATGATTTTGTTTTGTTTGCATACTTTTCCCATTGTTGTCTCCATCTTACAACCTTCACAGCATTCCAATAGTTGCCCCCATCTTACATCATTTTCAACGTTTCCTGTCTCAATCTACCACCATTCTCATGGTTTATTTCCTCCATTCCACACCATTCTCATGGTTTATTTCCTCCATCCCACAACATTCTCATGGTTTATTTCCTCCATCCCACACCATTCTCATGGTTTATTTCCTCCATTCCACACCATTCTCATGGTTTATTTCCTCCATTCCACACCATTCTCATGGTTTATTTCCTCCATTCCACAACATTCTCATGGTTTATTTCCTCCATCCTACAACATTCTCATGGTTTATTTCCTCCATCCCACAACATACTCATGGTTTATTTCCTCCATCCCGCACCATTCTCATGGTTTATTTCCTCCATCCCGCACCATTCTCATGGTTTATTTCCTCCATCTCACACCATTCTCATGGTTTATTTCCTCCATCTCACACCATTCTCATGGTTTATTTCCTCCATCCCGCACCATTCTCATGGTTTATTTCCTCCATCTCACACCATTCTCATGGTTTATTTCCTCCATCTCACACCATTCTCATGGTTTATTTCCTCCATCCCACAACATACTCATGGTTTATTTCCTCCATCCCGCACCATTCTCATGGTTTATTTCCTCCATCCCGCACCATTCTCATGGTTTATTTCCTCCATCTCACACCATTCTCATGGTTTATCTCCTCCATCTCACACCATTCTCATGGTTTATTTCCTCCATCCCACACCATTCTCATGGTTTATTTACTCCATCTCACACCATTCTCATGGTTTATTTCCTCCATCCCACACCATTCTCATGGTTTATTTTCTCCATCCTACAACATTCTCACGGTTTATTTCCTCCATCCCGCACCATTCTCACGGTTTATTTCCTCCATCCCACAACATACTCATGGTTTATTTCCTCCATCCCGCACCATTCTCATGGTTTATTTCCTCCATCCCGCACCATTCTCATGGTTTATTTCCTCCATCCCACACCATTCTCATGGTTTATTTCCTCCATCTCACACCATTCTCATGGTTTATTTCCTCCATCCCGCACCATTCTCATGGTTTATTTCCTCCATCTCACACCATTCTCATGGTTTATTTCCTCCATCCCACAACATTCTCATGGTTTATTTCCTCCATCTCACACCATTCTCATGGTTTATTTCCTCCATCTCACACCATTCTCATGGTTTATTTGCTCCATCCCACAACATTCTCATGGTTTATTTCCTCCATCCCACACCATTCTCATGGTTTATTTACTCCATCTCACACCATTCTCATGGTTTATTTCCTCCATCCCACACCATTCTCATGGTTTATTTTCTCCATCCTACAACATTCTCACGGTTTATTTCTTCCATCCCGCACCATTCTCATGGTTTATTTCCTCCATCCCACAACATACTCATGGTTTATTTCCTCCATCTCACACCATTCTCATGGTTTATTTTCTCCATCCTACAACATTCTCACGGTTTATTTCCTCCATCCCGCACCATTCTCATGGTTTATTTCCTCCATCTCACACCATTCTCATGGTTTATTTCCTCCATCCCACAACATTCTCATGGTTTATTTCCTCCATCTCACACCATTCTCATGGTTTATTTCCTCCATCTCACACCATTCTCATGGTTTATTTGCTCCATCCCACAACATTCTCATGGTTTATTTCCTCCATCCCACACCATTCTCATGGTTTATTTACTCCATCTCACACCATTCTCATGGTTTATTTCCTCCATCCCACACCATTCTCATGGTTTATTTTCTCCATCCTACAACATTCTCACGGTTTATTTCTTCCATCCCACACCATTCTCATGGTTTATTTCCTCCATCCCGCACCATTCTGATGGTTTATTTCCTCCATCCCACACCATTCTCATGGTTTATTTCCTCCATCCCGCACCATTCTCATGGTTTATTTCCTCCATCTGCCAAAATCCTTATGGCTTGCTGACTACATCTTACAACAATTCTAATTTCTTAGTACATTTATCTCATAGCATTTGACAGAAATGCTCTCTCAATCTCACAACATTCTCAGAGCTTGTTGCATTCACCTGACCTGGTGTCTAGCTGGTATCGGAATATCTAGTTACATTGTATTAGTCGTCGGGCTATCTACTCATCAGTTGTCGGTATGTCTGCTCGTCACGTGATCGGATGGATATCTTGTTATCTGCCAAAGGGATATTTACTAATCCGACGATCACCGCGGGATATCTACTAATATTTATTTATATGGTCAACGGATATCTTCTATCATCTTGACATTTTACGTGTAAAAACAAGAGGCCTAGAGGGCCTATATCGCTCACCTGGATCTTTATGACCAACAGTACTATATCTGTGCATATGGGTTCTGTCCCTTAGTAGTCAGCCACCTCATCTGTGCAATGTTGAATTGAGACTTTCTTATGATGTTTCCAGTTAAATATAATTGATAGCTTTCTTTTAAATCAAGGAAAGAAGATGGTCAAACAATATAGCAGAAAAACTCTTAGTTATAGCTGGACGGATGACTCAGGACAGCAGAAGCTTACTTGCCCTTTAGATCATTGTTTACAAACACAGATACAACATAGATGAGACAACAGTACATAGCAACAATCAAATATAAAGACAGGGAAAAATTAAGGTACATGTAATTATAAACCATAATCCTAACTCAAAACCAATAATAAAATGTTTCATGCATGTCAATAGTGATGTCACCATGGTCAGTTAAGCTCCTGTTACTGGAGATATACTGATAACAGTTTACTGTAGGCCTATAGACACTGCATAGCAAATGGGATCAACTTAGAATTTCTTATTTATTTATGCTATAATTATGAAGAATCTTAAATCAAAATGAAGCTCTTGCAATTCTCTTTTCGATCATGTTTTCTGTATTTTAATACTGTGATTAGAACATAAGTAAATGGCTCACATGTATTTTTTCCACTGTATAACATTACTTATCCAAAGCCCTCCAGATCGCAAGTGGGCGTGGCCCAATCTATTTTTTTGGGAACAGTGTGACGCCACTGTGAAAGGTCTTTATAATTTTGTCCAAATCATGCCAAGAAAGCTCCCAGTCAAATATGTCCCATTCATTAAGTCAGGAAGGTTCTATATATTTGTATATAAGCCTTTAATTTAACACCAATGACCTTAAATATCATTATGGGTCAAGCTGTTTTTACACACTATGTGGGCACCAGCAAGGGAACCTTTTGGACAAATATTATGATCCTAGGCCTTTAGGTTAATCAGAAGTTGTTCAAGGGTTTAACACATTTGATTGTTGATGCCTTGAATATGGGTCAAGGTCATTTCAAATATCACCGGGCATCATTGAGAACCTATTTTAGAACAATATCACTATCCCAGATGTTTTGGATAATCAGAAAATGTCATTTAAATGTTTAACACATTTGACCCCTGTGACCTTGACTATGGGTCAAGGTCATTTCTTTTTGCAAATTTCTTGGACTTCATAAAAGGAACATACTGGCCAAATATACTGATTCTAGGCTTTTCGATCTTTCAGAAGAAATCGTTTAAACGTTATAACACATTTGACCCCTGTGACCTGGAAGATTGGTCAAGGTCATTTTTTTAGTAAACTTTGTAGGACACCATAAGAGGAACATAGCAGCCTAATATAATGATTCAATGCCTTCCGGTATTTGGGGAGAAGTCGTTAAAAGGTTTTAACACATTTTACCTCTGTGACCTTGAATATAGGTCAAGGTCATTTCTTTTTGCAAACTTTGTTGGGCTTCATCAAATGAACCTTCCAGCCAAATATGATAACTCTACGCCTTTTGGTATTTGAGAAGAATTCGTTTCAATGACAAGTTGACGGACGACGGACGCCGCGCTATGGCATAAGCTCACTTGGCCCTTTGGACCAGGTGAACTAACAAGGGATATTTATATTGTTATACATGTGATGTAAACTTCATTAAAGCAACCGATTGTCACAGCTACCAGAAAATCAATGTTACTCAGTCTGCAAAAAAAATTAGGTTATAATAATACATTGTCTGATATAAAACAAAGAGCAATATATTGTCTGATTGTCAAAAACTACGTGATAACAAGATATCGTCTCATTGTTAATTAAACAGAAAACAAGAAAAATCAGCATCGACGACGTTTATATAATAAGATATGCCATAACAACATATTGTCTGATTGTTCAAATGTTAGGTTATAACAATATATTTACCACTCCATAGTATTTCCACTTTATAACCTTAATAACTGTAGTTGCGCAACATCACTTCATAACTGCCAACGGGCGTACGAATTTAACAGTAATGGAAACGAATTGAGGTTGCCTCCCCTCGTACAGTTAGAGTATGAGATTACATTTGCCTAATTTTTTAATGTTTATACAATAGTAGAAATTTTTTTTTTTTTTTGCATTTAACAAATCACTTCCTCGCGTGCGATAGAAATGTTGGCCCTGTCATCCTGTCAAGCTGTCGAGTCACCGTCCCCTTCTGAGACATAACATTTTAACAATCAGACTACGTTTAAGCATTGAACTGCTTTCAATTGGCATTCATGGGCCTATGAATGCCGACTGGACAAAGGCAAATTTAACATGAAGCGCGCTAGCCCATGAATGCCAATTGAAAGCAGCTCAATGCTTAAATATAGTCTGATTGTTAAAATGTTATGTTTCAACAATATATAGTCTGATTGTTAAAATGTTAGGTTATAACAATATATAGTCTGATTGTTAAAATGTTAGGTTATAACAATATATAGTCTGATTGTTAAAATGTTAGGTTATAACAATATATAGTCTGATTGTTAAAAAGTTAGGTTATAACAATATATAGTCTGATTATTTATAAGAATATTGATGTTAATATCTAATATCTCAGGTAACTTGCCTCGGAATAAATGCAATGCTAGCGAGACCTGACACGCCGGAGAAAGACCGATTTTTAGAAGAGCAATGCTTACGTACAGGTAATATTTGTATACATGCAATATACTGCAATATATGAGGATGCTTTTAAATAATATTTGATTATAGACTTTATCATACTCGAAGCTATAGAAAACAACTCGTGTGCCATTTATTGTTTGTTTATTTGTCTGTAATTTTATCAACTGTAAACGTAGAAATTTACGAGAGGGGGAAATTTTCTTTAATTACGAGAACCTCGTTAGATCGCGAAAATTTTCCTCGCGCAGAATACAATGTGATATGTTTAAACTTTATGGATCAAAATCAAATGAAAATTGATCGCAAAAAGAATCCCACGTGTATAACGACGACTGTTCAACGTGACGGATTAAACTGTCTATAATGACGTCTGTTCCACTTGACGGATTACACTGTCAATAGTGACGTCTGTTCCACTCGACGGATTACACTTTCAATAATGACGTCTGTTCCACTCGACGGATTACACTTTCAATAATGACGTCTGTTCCACTTGACGGATTAAACCGTCTATAATGACGTCTGTTCCACTTGACGGATTAAACTGTCAATAATGACGTCTGTTCCACTTGACGGATTACACTGTCAATAGTGACGACTGTTCCACTTGACGGATTAAACTGTCAATAGTGACGCCTGTTCCACTCGACGGATTACACTTTCAATAATGACGTCTGTTCCACTTGACGGATTAAACCGTCTATAATGACGTCTGTTCCACTTGACGGATTAAACTGTCAATAGTGACGTCTGTTCCACTTGACGGATTAAACTGTCAATAGTGACGACTGTTCCACTTGACGGATTAAACTGTCAATAATGACGTCTTTTCCACTTGACGGATTAAACTGTCTATAATGACGTCTGTTCCACTTGACGGATTAAACTGTCAATAATGACGTCTGTTCCACTTGACGGATTAAACTGTCTATAATGACGTCTGTTCCACTTGACGGATTAAACTGTCAATAGTGACGACTGTTCCACTTGACGGATTAAACTGTCAATAGTGACGTCTGTTCCACTTGACGGATTACACTTTCAATAATGACGTCTGTTCCACTTGACGGATTAAACCGTCTATAATGACGTCTGTTCCACTTGACGGATTAAACTGTCAATAGTGACGACTGTTCCACTTGACGGATTAAACCGTCTATAATGACGTCTGTTCCACTTGACGGATTAAACTGTCAATAGTGACGACTGTTCCACTTAACGGATTACACTTTCAATAGTGACGACTGTTCAACTTGACGGATTACACTTTCAATAATGACGTCTGTTCCACTTGACGGATTACACTGTCAATAATGACGTCTGTTCCACTTTTAAACAGAAAACTGCGTCTTGAAGCTTATAACATATTCTTGGGGTGATTTCATATACATTTATCTTCGTTCACAAGGTCAATCTCACTGGGTAGGTGCGACCGATATGGAAAAATACTTTGTAGTCGTAATTTACAATATTGTTTTATATTAAAATGTTTCTAAGAATTTCAAAAACGTCATTGGGGTCATGGTGAAGATTGCCTAGCTGTTGGATCTAGATCTACAGGATTGCCAGTTTGGAATGACCATTTATGTATGGACAGAAAGCCCTTTATTTGTGAAAGACCAGCTGTAAGTGAATGAATCTTATCGTTTAAAACACGGTTCTAAAGTCATTAACCATTTACATTGTAATATAACAGAATTTATTTTTAAACACATAACTGTCATGTTCTCACATAATACTTTGTTATAAGTATATTTACTGAGAAACGTTATCAGTGTAATCCAATACATCAATACCTTCCTATCAGTGTAATGACATCAATACCTTCCTATCAGTGTAATGACATCAGTACCTTCCTATCAGTGTAATGACATCACTACCTTCCTATCAGTGTAATGACATCAGTACCTTCCTATCAGTGTAATGACATCAATACCTTCCTATCAGTGTAATGACATCAGTACCTTCCTATCAGTGTAATGACATCAGTACCTTCCTATCAGTGTAATGACATCAATACCTTCCTATCAGTGTAATGACATCAGTACCTTCCTATCAGTGTAATGACATCAGCACCTTCCTATCAGTGTAATGCCATCAATACCTTCCTATCAGTGTAATGACATCAGTACCTTCCTATCAGTGTAATGACATCAGTACCTTCCTATCAGTGTAATGACGTCAGTACCTTCCTATCAGTGTATGACAGTCAATACCTTCCTATCAGTGTAATGACATCAATACCTTCCTATCAGTGTAATGACATCAATACATCACTACCTTCCTATCAGTGTAATGACATCACTACCTTCCTATCAGTGTAATGACATCAATACATCAATACCTTCCTATCAGTGTAATGACATCAATACCTTCCTATCAGTGTAATGACATCACTACCTTCCTATCAGTGTAATGACATCAATACCTTCCTATCAGTGTAATGACATCAATACCTTCCTATCAGTGTAATGACATCAATACTTCCTATCAGTGTAATGACATCAATACCTTCCTATCAGTGTAATGACATCAATACCTTCCTATCAGTGTAATGACATCAATACCTTCCTATCAGTGAATGACATCAATTCCTATCAGTGTAATGACATCAATCCTATCAGTGTAATGACATCAATACCTTCCTATCAGTGTAATGACATCAATACCTTCCTATCAGTGTAATGACATCAATACCTTCCTATCAGTGTAATGACATCAATATCTTCCTATCAGTGTAATGACATCAATATCTTCCTATCAGTGTAATGACATCAGTACCTTCCTATCAGTGTAATGACATCAATACCTTCCTATCAGTGTAATGACATCAATACCTTCCTATCAGTGTAATGACATCAATACCTTCCTATCAGTGTAATGACATCAGTACATCAATACCTTCCTATCAGTGTAATGACATCAATACCTTCCTATCAGTGTAATGACATCAATACATTCCTAACAGTGTAATGACATCAATACATCAATACTTCCTATCAGTGTAATGACATCAATACCTTCCTATCAGTGTAATGACATCAATACCTTCCTATCAGTGTAATGACATCAATACCTTCCTATCAGTGTAATGACATCAATACCTTCCTATCAGTGTAATGACATCGATACATCAATACCTTCCTATCAGTGTGTAATGACATCAATACCTTCCTATCAGTGTAATGACATCAATACATCAGTAACTAATGACATCAATACCTTCCTATCAGTGTAATGACATCAATACCTTCCTATCAGTGTAATGACATCAATACCTTCCTATCAGTGTAATGACATCAATACCTTCCTATCAGTGTAATGACATCAATACATCACCTTCCTATCAGTGTAATGACATCAATACCTTCCTATCAGTGTAATGACATCAATACCTTCCTATCAGTGTAATGACATCAATACCTTCCTATCAGTGTAATGACATCAATACCTTCCTATCAGTGTAATGACATCAATACCTTCCTATCAGTGTAATGACATCAATACCTTCCTATCAGTGTAATGACATCAATACATCAATACCTTCCTATCAGTGTAATGACATCAATACATCAATACCTTCCTATCAGTGTAATGACATCACTACCTTCCTATCAGTGTAATGACATCAATACCTTCCTATCAGTGTAATGACAATACATCACTACCTTCCTATCAGTGTAATGACATCAATACCTTCCTATCAGTGTAATGACATCAATACCTTCCTATCAGTGTAATGACATCAATACCTTCCTATCAGTGTAATGACATCAATACCTTCCTATCAGTGTAATGACATCAATACCAGTGTAATTCCTATCAGTGTAATGACATCAATACCTTCCTATCAGTGTAATGACATCAATACCTTCCTATCAGTGTAATGACATCAATACATCAATACCTTCCTATCAGTGTAATGACATCAATACCTTCCTATCAGTGTAATGACATCAATACCTTCCTCTCAGTGTAATGACATCAATACCTTCCTATCAGTGTAATGACATCAATACCTTCCTATCAGTGTAATGACATCAATACATCAATACCTTCCTATCAGTGTAATGACATCAGTACCTTCCTATCAGTGTAATGACATCAATACCTTCCTATCAGTGTAATGACATCAATACCTTCCTATCAGTGTAATGACATCAATACCTTCCTATCAGTGTAATGACATCAATACCTTCCTATCAGTGTAATGACATCAATACCTTCCTATCATCAGTGTAATGACATCATCATACCTTCCTATCAGTGTAATACCTTCCTATCAGTGTAATGACATCAGTACCTTCCTATCAGTGTAATGACATCAGTACCTTCCTATCAGTGTAATGACATCAGTACCTTCCTATCAGTGTAATGACATCAATACCTTCCTATCAGTGTAATGACATCAGTACCTTCCTATCAGTGTAATGACATCAATACCTTCCTATCAGTGTAATGACATCAATACCTTCCTATCAGTGTAATGACATCAGTACCTTCCTATCAGTGTAATGACATCACTACCTTCCTATCAGTGTAATGACATCAATACCTTCCTATCAGTGTAATGACATCAGTACCTTCCTATCAGTGTAATGACATCAGTACCTTCCTATCAGTGTAATGACATCAATACCTTCCTATCAGTGTAATGACATCAATACATCAATACCTTCCTATCAGTGTAATGACATCAATACCTTCCTATCAGTGTAATGACATCAATACCTTCCTATCAGTGTAATGACATCAATACCTTCCTATCAGTGTAATGACATCAATACATCAATACCTTCCTATCAGTGTAATGACATCAATACCTTCCTATCAGTGTAATGACATCAATACCTTCCTATCAGTGTAATGACATCAATACCTTCCTATCAGTGTAATGACATCAATACATCAATACCTTCCTATCAGTGTAATGACATCAATACCTTCCTATCAGTGTAATGACATCAATACCTTCCTATCAGTGTAATGACATCAGTACCTTCCTATCAGTGTAATGACGTCAGTACCTTCCTATCAGTGTAATGACATCAATACATCACTACCTTCCTATCAGTGTAATGACATCAATACCTTCCTATCAGTGTAATGACATCAATACCTTCCTATCAGTGTAATGACATCAGTACCTTCCTATCAGTGTAATGACATCAATACCTTCCTATCAGTGTAATGACATCAGTGTAATGACATCAGTACCTTCCTATCAGTGTAATGACATCAATACCTTCCTATCAGTGTAATGACATCAGTACCTTCCTATCAGTGTAATGACATCAGTACCTTCCTATCAGTGTACCTTCCTATCAGTGTAATAACATCAATACATCAATACCTTCCTATCAGTGTAATGACATCACTACCTTCCTATCAGTGTAATGACATCAATACCTTCCTATCAGTGTAATGACATCAATACCTTCCTATCAGTGTAATGACATCACTACCTTCCTATCAGTGTAATGACATTACCTATCAGTGTAATGACATCAATACCTTCCTATCAGTGTAATGACATCACATACCTATCAGTGAAATCACTGTCAAGACATCAATACCTTCCTATCAGTGTAATGACATCAATACCTTCCTATCAGTGTAATGACATCATCAGTGTAATGACATCAATACCTTCCTATCAGTGTAATGACATCAATACCTTCCTATCAGTGTAATGACATCAGTACCTTCCTATCAGTGTAATGACATCAATACCTTCCTATCAGTGTAATGACATCAATACCTTCCTATCAGTGTAATGACATCAATACCTTCCTATCAGTGTAATGACATCAGTACCTTCCTATCAGTGTAATGACATCATCATCACCTTCCTATCAGTGTAATGACATCAATACCTTCCTATCAGTGTAATGACATCAATACATAAATAACATACTATCAGAGTAATTACATCAATACCTTCCTATCAGTGTAATGACATCAGTACCTTCCTATCAGTGTAATGACATCAGTACCTTCCTATCAGTGTAATGACATCAATACATCAATACCTTCCTATCAGTGTAATGACATCAATACATCAATACCTTCCTATCAGTGTAATGACATCAGTACCTTCCTATCAGTGTAATGACATCAATACCTTCCTATCAGTGTAATGACATCAATACCTTCCTATCAGTGTAATGACATCAATACCTTCCTATCAGTGTAATGACATCAGTACCTTCCTATCAGTGTAATGACATCAATACCAGTGTAATTTCCTATCAGTGTAATGACATCATACATCAGTGTAATACCTTCCTATCAGTGTAATGACATCAATACCTCAATCCTATCAGTGTAATGACATCATACCTTCCTATCAGTGTAATCCTATCAGTGTAATGACATCAATACCTTCCTATCAGTGTAATGACATCAATACCTTCCTATCAGTGTAATGACATCAGTACCTTCCTATCAGTGTAATGACATCAATACATCAATACCTTCCTATC